CAAGAAGGGGGGCCCAAGGCCCCGCCGCTCCCGCCGCCCGCTTTCTGGAGACCTTGGCCCTAAGCTTTGGGGGGTGGGGGCGGGGCTGGGGGTAGGGTAGAGACTCCAGCCTAAGGGCAGCAGAGGGATCCGGGAGTCGGGGCGAGGAGGTGTTGGGGAGGGCAGCGGGGCGCGCGGGCGCAGCGCGCGGGTGAGATGTGGTCTATATTAGAGTATCTATATAAATATATATATTCCTGGTTCCTGTCCCTTTCCCCTGCCCCCCCCTTGCGTCTAGGATTGTACCCTCTCTGTCCCAGCCCAGCCCCAATCCCTTCTCGAGTCCCTAGTGCATGGAATAAAGTGGTTATTAAATCCCCGTGTGTCCCAAAGCCAGGGGCCTGCCTTTATCTCGGCGTCCACGCCTACTTTCCCTCCCCTTCTGTCTCCCGTCCCCCCAGTCCTGCTCTCCGAGGCCCAAGTCCCAGGGCAGACAGGTAAGTAAAGAAGAGAGCAGAGCAGAGACTGAGGCTGGAACTGAAAACAGACGGAAAACAGAGTTAGGATAGGGGGAGAGGGACGGGACCTTTAGGGGAAAAAAAAAAAAAGGAAAGGAAAATAAAAGTTGGAATAAAATCGACTCTGGTGGGATTCGAACCCACAACCTTTGAATCGCTCTTTCGTCACTAGAAGTCCAATGCGCTATCCATTGCGCCACAGAGCCCGCTAACCAACGGCGGCGTCTGACGGCCTACGGGAGCTGGATGGGGGAGGGGGAGAGGGAGGGACGAACCAAGAGCTCGCGGGTAGGACCTGAGGCCTACCAGGGCGAGGTAGCGGGCGCAAAGCAGGTGAGCCAGGTGGGAGTGCGGGAGCACATGGGTGGAGGAAACAGGGAGAGAGAGCAACATGAGTGAGGGGACGAGCACAGAGCTCCAGCTGCCTGCTTGGAGGATGATGCTTCCAGCCCAGGCGCACCCCACTCCCAGATGTGGCCCCACTCATCAAAATAAACTTATTTCGTTGTAAATTTCTGTGTGTCTTTGTTTCCTTTGGCCTATCTGCTTTGCTATCCGCTGCTCTGCAGTTCTAAATCTAGATGGTTTCCGAAGAAGACCAGCCAATGTAATACCATTTCTAGCTTACTTTGCTATAGTCTCTTAGGAGGAGAGTGGAGGAACCCTTACTCCACGCAGGTAGCGTGGCCGAGCGGTCTAAGGCGCTGGATTTAGGCTCCAGTCTCTCCGGAGGCGTGGGTTCGAATCCCACCGCTGCCAAACTAAAGCTTTTTTTCCCTCCCTCGTGGTTCATGCATCTTGTAACAATTCATGCAGGACCTTGTGGGATCTTCCTCAATTTTATGAGGATTCCTGATAGAGGTCTCACCACTGTCATCCCTCTTTGGTATTCAAGACATATCCTACCTAGATCTGCATCGCAGCCCCAAACCAAGACCTGATGGAAACTGCCGAAGTAACCTTTTCTTAGTAACTGATCTCCCCATTAACATGTTCTCAAATAACATTCTTATCTCTCAAAATTAGCGCAACACGTGTTCATATACATATTCAAGTGATTGACTGTGTTTTCCTCAGAGTGTGCTAGGGGCTTCAATTGCCTAGTGTAAAAGCTCAAAGAACAGAATTGTAGTTTTTCTTTTTAAATACTCTTCATAAAAGAACCTCATACATAAAACCAATACATAATGGAACATATTGACAATTGTGAGAAACAAAACTTCAGGTTCCACCGAGATTTGAACTCGGATCGCTGGATTCAGAGTCCAGAGTGCTAACCATTACACCATGGAACCAACTGGTGCAATCCTCTTCTGAATATTTATATAATTGTAAACTCTGTTCTTACTGCCCTGCACTCTACTATTTACAGAAGACAAAACAACACAAAAACAATTGTTGGATAAGGTAGACGCCGTTAACAAGCATCTAAAATATGAATTGAAATGTACTGTAAATGTAAAATGGAAACCGTACATAGAAGACTTAGTACAGAAAAAGTTATAATTTCATTAACATTAAAATATTGATTATATGTTAAAATGCTCAGATTTTGGATACTTGGGGTTAAATAAAATATGTTATTAAAATTAATTTCAACTGTTGCTTTTTACTCTTTTAAAGAAAATGACAGATTTTATTCTTAGAGCAGTTTTAGGTTTACAGAAAAATTGAACAGAAAGTACAGAGTTCTCCCATGTACTCCTGTTCCCCCCCTAGTTTCTTTTTCTATTATTATCATTATTATTATTATTCCATTTTTAGTTTTATTGAAGTATAAATGATATACAAAAACTGCACACACTTAATGTATACACATCTTGATTAAACTTTTCATTCTTTTTAATGTGGCTACTAGAAAACTTAAGTTAGCATATATGACTCGTATATGTACTACTCTAAAGCATCTCTACTTTCCTTCCCATTATTCGTTCTATCTTCTGAAGACTAAAAATTTGGCGTTTTACCACTTCCTTTTAAATACCACTTCCTTTTAAAACTAATTAATAGAATTTTTGTTATTCTTTTCCTTTGTTTTGTTTGAAGGCATCCAAATATTAATTGTACTTAGAAATGAGTGTTTAGGTGGGGAAAAAACTGAACGCCCGAACAGGGACTTGAACCCTGGACCCTCAGATTAAAAGTCTGATGCTCTACCGACTGAGCTATCCGGGCTCTCGAGCTTTTTCTGCCCCGGCATCTTTAAGAGTATTAGACCTGTAAAATTTCACGCTCGCAAAAACGTGGGGGAATTGTATGCAAGTGCTCCGAGGATGCCGGCACAGACCCTAAGGAAGCTGGAGCACCGGGCAACTGCTGATCGCGCGTCCTACCGGCCTCCCTCGAGTAGTTTCCGCCGTTCGGTTAGCTTGGGCTGGAGGCCCGGGGCTGGGATAGCGCGGTGCCGGGACTTGCCGCGCGGGGCCGCTGCCGGCTGCGGGCTCTCCTCGCCGGGAGGTTTCTCCAGGGAATGAATGACCTACATCTTAGGCACTCGGGCGCCCCCGCTCCCGCCCACTGGCCCGAAGGTCGAGGGCGGGCCCGAATGCCACAGGGGACCTTCAGATACTGTGCGCCGGGAGTCCACTTCGGTACCCTGACGAGCTCCATTCCAAGGGAGAGATTGAGATCTGACATGCCAAAGACAGGGGTCACGGAGGGCCGGGCGTGGGAGGGCGGTGCAGAGTAATCATACAGGCGTCACCTGCTCGCTGTCTCTTTCTGAGCAGTTGGTCCCTCCCTTCCCGGTGAGGCTGGGGCTCCTGATATCCATCTGGGTGAGCCCTGTCCTGCCAGCCAGAGGGACCGGCTGCGCCAGAGGCAAGCAAACAACTATTAGAAGGCAGGTGTGGGCGGGGAGAGGGAGCCGGCACTGAGCAGAGGCCCCGGCAGAGGCCGGGAGCTCAGGACAGAGAAAACATCTCAGAGGGAGCTGGGCCTTTCCCCCTACCCCCCAACCTCCATCCCACCCCCCAGACCTCCCATCCAGCGGCTCAGCATCACAGCCGTCCAGTCCTGCTCGGCCTGCTGCTCACCTCCAGGCCGGCCGCTCCTGGGGCTCACCTTGTCGGGAGGCATCCCTCCGTCCCTCCCATCATGGCCGTGTACCGCGTGTGTGTGACCACTGGTGCCTACCTGGGGGCAGGCACACTGGACAACATCTCCGTCACTCTGGTGGGCATGTGTGGTGAGAGCCCCAAGCAGCTGCTGGATCGCGTGGGCAGGGACTTTGCCCCTGGATCGGTGAGTACAGAGGAGAGAGGGAGGAGCACCCCTGAGGGGGCAGGGCCAGCAGGGACCCTGAAGGAGGGTACCGTCTTCCTTCAGGGCTCATCACCTCCTGCAGAACCGTGGCTGCTGGCTCTGACCTCCTCCCCATCCCTGTTCTGTCTGGTTCCTGTCTTTCCTGGGGATGATAAACCCTACCCAGGCGGGGCTGTGAAGGGGTCCTGGGCAAGGGGGCAGAATTCCAATGGCTTCCCAGCTTCTCCTCTCATAACTGAAGGTGGGCTCTGGGCTAGTCGCTTGAACTCCCAGAGTCTGGGTTTCTTCTTCTCTGGGGGGCGTCCACCTGCCTCTACCAGGCCCAGGATTGTTTGTTGGTGGGTCTTGGGGAGAAGTTGGCCACCAAGGGGGCTAGTGCAACCCAGAACCTACTCTGCCTGTGGTAGCTGTGGTTGCTTCTGCCTGGTGAAGGGGTGCTTTTTTTCTAATTCATACAAAGTCCTCACATGGGTTAGCGGCAGCTCAGGCTTCTATGCCAGAAGGGGTGTGGGTTTAGACGCACCTTGCAAGGTGCAGGACAGCTCCGGCAGCTCCTTGCCTCTCACGCGCTTCCTCTGTTGGTCCCTCAGGTGCAGAAGTACAAAGTGCGCTGCTCAGCGGAGCTGGGGGAGCTCTTGCTGCTGCGTCTACACAAGGAGCGCTATGCCTATTTCCGCAAGGACTCCTGGTACTGCAGCCACATCTGTGTCACTGCCCCCGATGGTGCCCTTTGCCACTTCCCCTGCTACCAGTGGATTGAGGGCTTCTGCACTGTAGAGCTGCGACCAGGAACAGGTGGGCCAGAGGCAGGGGCTGGCCTTATGCTGCAGCACGCACCTTTTGGGATTAGGGGTGGGGTCTCCCAGAGCCCAGGGTGCAGGGAACAGGGTTGGGGTTAGTGTCACAAGTTCAGGGCTCCCAAGTAGATGCTTTCTGGAAAAGGTGAGCCTCTAAAGCCCTGCAATGCAGGGGCGTCTCGGACAGTATCTACCCTCTGGAGACAGACAGAGACTAGACCCACACTGTGGACACTCACACCACCCAGACACAGACACAAACACACACAGATGGCAGGTTGCTCTCCGGGGACTCCCTCTGCACTTCCCCTAAGCGAATTCCTGCAGAACCCCAAAAGGAGCCATCCTGCCAGCTGAGTAATTGCATTTCACCAGGTGGAGAAGCCCTGAGCGTTGAGCTGGAAAGGCACTGGCCACCACTCCTGGCGTTTCCAGTGTGGCTGAAGTCCCTGTGGGCTGCCGTTAGGATTCCTTTTTGAATTTGGATGACCTTTCAAGAATGCCTCGGCCTAACTCCCTCAGCCTCTGACCGGCCACATCTCCTGAGCTGTCTGATCTAGAAAAGCATGACTAGTTTGAGATGAGTCTTAGGGATGAGAGATGCTGTTCTAGGTCAAGGTAAAATAACTGAACATGACCCCTTGGCCCATAGTGAGTTCTTCATAGACCTCACTCTGAACCTCATCTATCATCATAGCAATCTGTCCACCACAATAAAATTACAAAATATATGTACTCATCTCATTTATCAAATGCATGCTATGTGCACTGTGCTAGGCACCATGCCAGATGCCGGGACTAAAAATGAATACAATGTGATTTCTGCTCAGAAAGAGTTTATAGTCTTGGAAAGGAAACAAACATGCAAGCAATAAGGAAGGTTGTTAGGATCTGGGGGCGAGGTTTTCCTGAGTCTCTGGTGAATGCACAAAGAACATGGGGTGTCCACATTACTGAAGGGTTGGGTGCAAGGGTTAGGGGCTCAGGCAAGCTTTGATGGAGAAGTTGTTGTTTAAAAAAGGACTTAAACGATGAGTAATCTCATTCCCCACAGCGAGGACTATTTGTCAAGACTCCCTTCCCCTCCTTCTGGACCACAGGAAACGGGAGCTCCAGGCCCGACAGGAATGCTACCGGTGAGGGTGACCTAACTTCACTTCTTTCCCCATTTTTATTCTGACTTCAGAATTAATCACACTGTTACTAACTCTGACCTCTGTCCCCACCTTGGGGCCCAACTCCAATCAGGGCCACTATTTAAACCTAACCGCAACCTACTATTGACCCGGAGTCCAGACCCAGAACACCAGTACCAATCATTGTCCCGATCCCATCAGTGAATCCACACTCAGCCCCTGATGTGACTGTGGTACTGACAGATCTCAGCCTATCCTCAACCTCACCCCCAAACGGGCCGTGATCTTAATCTCAGCATAAACCCGACTCTAACCCAGCCCGGACATTCATGTCACCCTCAAATGCTACCCTGATCTGAAGCCCAGTGCCTTGGGGAGAAAATCCCAATTCTTTGTCACTTACCCAGAAAGTGGGAGTTTTAATTCAAGGCATGTCTTTAGAAGCTAAAGTTTCTGTACCCTAAGTTTGACTCACCATCTCTAACCTCTTTGCCCCGGAAGTTGGAAGGTCTATGCCCCTGGCTTCCCAGGCATCGTGGATGTCAGCACCTTTGAGCAGATGGAGTCAGACAAGAAATTTACCTTGACCAGGACAACAACTCGTGTGAATCAGGACGACAGGTGAGGAAGGACCCAGGCGTGGGAAGAAGGTGGAGGGCTGTGAAGTGAAGGGTCTGTTGAGAAGATGGGCCCAGACTGCCTGGAAAGAGAAGTTGTGAACTACAATAAGGGCAATTTAATTCAAGTGCCCGGATCAGAGTAGGCAGGGGTGGCCCCCGGGATAAGGCAGAGAGGAGGAGGTGGCTTCAGGCCTAATGGGAGAGGGCAGGGGAGGAGCCCAGAGTGAGGGGAGGCCTACGAAGTCTGGGGGAAGAGTGAGGGAAGGAATTAGAGAGGTGAGCTGTAGGCCTTTCTGACTGTTCTCTGTTCTTCTGCCCCCACCTTCTCCTATTCCCTAGCAGTGGGAATCGGTACCTGCCTGGCTTCCCCATGAAAATTGACATCCCCTCCCTGCTGCACATGGAGCCCAATATCAGATACTCGGCCACCAAGACGACCTCGCTGATCTTCAATGCCATCCCTGCGTGAGGCCCCTGAACTCCTGCTCACTCTCCCGTCCGCCTCTGCCCCTTGATGCACAGCCACATCTCTGCCTCACTTTCCCTTCTCCCTGCCCCTCGTCGCTCTCTCTGTCCCCTGTCTCCCCTCTCCCTGCCCCAGTCTATGGCCCCTTGTATGGCCCCAGTTTCTTCTCTCTCTGCCCCTCAGGCTCCTCTCTCTCTCCTTAGACTCCTCCATGCCCTATATCCCCGTGGGCTCCTCTTTGCTCCTTAGTCATCCGTTCTTTTTCCATCGCCCCGACTAATACAATGAATTGTGCACAGCCTGGTTCCAGGCACTGCTGGGATCTTGTTGAGTAGAAGAGAGGTCTGGCTCTTAAGCTTTTAGAAAGTGGTCAGACCACGCCAGTTTCAATTCCCAAAACCAATGCTTTCTAGCTGGGTGACCTTGATTTTCACTTAGCCTCTAAGTCAGCGGTTCTCAACCTATGGGTCGCGACCCCTTTGGCGGTCGAACGACCCTTTCACAGGGGTCGCCTAAGACCATCCTGCATATCAGATATTTACATGACGATTCATAACAGTAGCAACATGACAGTGATGAAGTAGCGACGAAAATAATTTTATGGTTGGGTCCCAACATGAGGAACTGTATTTAAAGGGCCAGAAGGTTGAGAACCACTGCTCTAAATGGTTTCCTCATCTATAAAATGACAATAATATTCATGCCTACCTTAAAGGTTTGGGAGAGAATTTAATGAAGTAACACCCAGCACAAAATAATGTCTCAGTAGATGCTAGTAGCGTTAGGATATACTCTTGGCCGGGAGGAACTCAGTATCATTAGGGAACAGAGTTAATTAGCAATCAAAGCAGCTCAAGGCAACAGCTGAAGCTGTGAGTGACATGGCTGGAGGGGGTACAGTGGACACGGGGTGTCTTTGGGTAGGTTTGGCAGGAGAGAGGCTCAGAGGGCCCTTTGTGCAGTGGCTGCTCTAAGAGGCCCAGCGGAGGCCAGAACAGTAAGCTGGCTCCTCATGTCTAGGCCTCCGAGCCAGAATGATGCTTTTGGAGAAGGACCGGTGGAGGGTGAGAAAGTGGGGTGGGGCTCCAGAAGGTCTGTGGGGGGCTGGGGCAGGCAGGCCGCACAGGCGGCTCGGGCTTCAGGGCTCAGGACAAGGGCCCAGGCAGGGGACCTCTGCCAGGGCCCAGAGGGGCAGTCGGGAAGGTAGAGGCACCTGAGTTGCTCCCCAAATGGCTATGTGGGTCTAGGCAGGGGACGTCCCAGGAGACCAGGACAGCTGGCATGGGGCTCAGAGAAGGCTTGTGGGAAGAGGGAGCTGGCCGTTGGCAGCTCAGCTGCTCATGGAGAGAAGGGGACAGTGCGGGGCTTTGAGTCCGGGGTTCCTGCAAGGCATTATGGAAAGGCCTGCGGCAGGCCCTTGGAAAGAGGAGGCCTTTTCTTTCTCCTTTATTGCCTCCTCCCACCCAGTTTTTCCCATCTCCTGGGCCCTGGTGGCAGGCGGAGGAGTGTCCTGGGCTTGTCAGGCCACTACTGCCCCTTGCCCCCTCTGTCTTCAGCTATCCACACCAGCGTCCTTACAGAGCCTACCTTATCGACCAGTTGCCACAAACCTGCCTGATGTGTGTTGTATTCCCTTCTCCGGGACTTGGCCCAGGGAGCGAGTGGTTATTATGAACCGGGTATGTCAGGGCAGTCTGAGCCAACTCACAGCCCTAAGAGCCCATGGTACAATGGGAGATGATGTGAGCGAGTACATTGTATTCACAAGGCGGTGAAGGGAGTGATGAGCGTTTGGGAAAGATATGGAAAGGCGTGTGTTTGGAGACATCCGGGCATGCTTCCTAAAGGATGTTGCATCTAAAATGCACACAGAACGGATGGGTTTGGTGCTCGGTGGGGATGTAGGAGACTGCTTTCTGGGAGAGGCGTAGTTTAATGAAAGCCCTGGACAGGGGGGAAAGCAGACTTCATTTCAAGCACGTTCCCCCCGCCCCGATTATAAAATAACATATGCTCATTGTAAAAAATATCCAAACAGTACAGACATCCACAACATGGAACGTGCACGCCCCTCAGGTTGCCAAGCCCACCTTTATCAGTCCTGTGCACAAAATATAGTTTTGGTGGTGTTAGCTGCGTTGGCTTTCTCTAGTGCCCCTGGTAGGAGAAAAAACTGCACAGGTTGATAGAAACCGGCCGGTGGGGCGTTTCCTAGCCTGCCTTCGCAGTTGGGGCTCTGTCCTGTAGGAAGAGGGGTGCCAGTGAATGTCTGCGACGAGATGGAAGCTTGCAGAAAGCAGGCCCAAAACACCAGTGAAGACGACTTGCCTGCACCACGTGCGCCGCCTTTGCATCCGCATATGGAGTCACCCCCACAAAGCCTCAGCTGGCCACTAGGCCTTTCTTCCATGAGGATTGTTAGGCACCTCTGCTCTGGACATTGATCTTGTCAGTTCCCTCCAGACCTCTAGGCTGGGACACAGGGCCCCTGGCAGCCCCAGACACCATCTCCCCCCCACCCCCCCAGGTCCTTGGGCATGAAGCTTCGAGGGCTGCTGGACCGAAAGGGCTCCTGGAAGAAGCTGGATGACATGCGGAATATCTTCTGGTGCCACAAGACCTTCACTTCAGGTGTGCAGAGCCAAGCAGGAGCTGTCCCCCCTCCACCCTGTCCCATGCCCCGGCCCGCGGGCCCATCTGGGAAAGCCCCTCCAGCGCTCAGAGAGCAGGCTGGGGGAAGCAGCTTCCAGACCAACCAGTTCCTCCCCCTCCTGCTCCCTAGAGTACGTCACGGAGCACTGGTGGGAGGACTCCTTCTTCGGGTACCAGTACCTGAACGGCGTCAATCCTGTCATGCTGCACTGCCTCTCCAGCTTGCCCAGCAAGCTGCCTGTCACCAATGACATGGTGGCCCCCTTGCTGGGCCCTGGCACCTGCCTGCAGGCAGAGCTAGAGGTGGGTGAGTTGCCCCCAGGGACAAAGGATGGGTGTGAAGGGAAAGGAGGAGATGGCCAGGAACAAGCATGGAGAACTAGGAGCTTCGCAGCCACGGCCTCAGGTCTCCTCCCCCAGAAGGCTGCGGTGGTTGGTGATTTTGCCTTTCTTGGATACACCGAGGTCATCTGCATTAAAGTAGGAAGGAGCAGGTACGGGGAGAAGGGAGAGGATGCTGGCTTGTCCAAGCTGGGAAGCCAGGTGAAAGGTTGCAAAAGGAGGGACTCTGCTGGACCTCATTCTGAACATTCTGGGATGGGTGGGGTACCCCACATTGACCACTGAGGCCAGAGGTGAGGGGGGAGTGGGCAGAGAACGGGGAGAAAGGCGGCGCGCCGGTGGGAAGTGTATTCTGAGGCTCTGCACCTTCCCCAGAGGGGGAACCTCTTCCTAGCGGACTACTGGGTCCTGGCGGAGGCCCCGGTCCACTGCCTCAACGGCCGCCAGCAGTACGTGGCCGCGCCGCTCTGCCTGTTGTGGCTCAACCCCCAGGGGGCGCTAATGCCCTTGGCCATCCAGGTGAGCCCGGGGCCGGGCTTCTGGGGGTGGGGCCTCCAGGGGCACACCAGCAGGCTGGAGTCTCACCCCCTGATGATTCCTGGACGCAGCTCAGCCAGACCCCCGGGCCGGACAGCCCCATCTTCCTCCCCACGGACTCCGACTGGGATTGGCTGCTGGCCAAGACGTGGGTGCGCAACTCCGAGTTCCTGGTGCACGAGAACAACACGCACTTCTTGTGCACGCACTTGCTGTGCGAGGCCTTCGCCATGGCCACGCTGCGTCAGCTGCCGCTCTGCCACCCCGTCTACAAGGTCGGTGCGACCCCCGGGCCGGGCCAGAGAGGGCGGGGCCAGGCGGCCTCCTTCCCTCGGCTCCCGGGACCTCATTCCGTTCGCAGCTCCTGCTCCCGCACACTCGGTACACGCTGCAGGTGA